AAAAAGTCCAAAAAAAAACCCCCAAAAATCCTAAAATTATCCAAAATTCCTCACAGAAAAAATCCCAAATTAATTGAGAATTACCAAAGGGGAAAAAAAAAACCAAAAAAGCAAAAAATCCCCTTAAAAAACCAAAAAAAACCCAAAAAAAATCCTTAAAGTATCCAAAATTCCACACAGAAAATATCCCAAAATTGTTCAGAATTACCTCAGAGAAAAATTCCCCCAAAAACCCCCCAAAAAAACCCTAAAAGTCAAAAAACACCCCCCCCAAAAATCCTAAAATTATCCAAAATTCCTCACAGAAAAAGTCCCAAAATAATTGAAATAATTACCTCAGGGAAAAAAAAAAACAAAAAAAAGGCCAAAATCTCCTTAAAATACCCCAAAAAAACCCCAAATCCTCCCTAAAAAGTCACAGATCAGCACGCAAACCTTGTGGGTCTGTCCTCTGCCAAAAAAATCCCAAAATTATCCAAAATTATCCAAAATTCCTCACAGAAAAAAATCCCTAATTGATTGAGAATTACCTCAGGAAAAAAAAAACCCAAAAAAAGCAAAAAAAACCCCAAAAAACCCCCCAAAAAGTCCAAAAAAAACCCCCCAAAAATCCTAAAATTATCTAAAATTCCTCACAGAAAAAATCCCAAATTTATTGAGAATTACCAAAGGGAAAAAAAAAACCAAAAAAGCAAAAAATCCCCTTAAAAAACAAAAAAAAACCACCAAAAAAATCCTTAAATTATCCAAAATTCCACACAGAAAATATCTCAAAATCATTCAGAATTACCCCAGGAAAATATTCCCCAAAAAACACCCCAAAAAACACCCCCAAAAAAAACCCCAAAAAGCCCAAAAAAACCCCCCCAAAAATCCTAAAATTATCTAAAATTCCTCACAGAAAAAAATCCCAAATTAATTGAGAATTACCTTAGGAAAAAGAACCCAAAAAAAGCAAAAAAAAACCCCAAAAAACCCCCCAAAAAGTCCAAAAAAACCCACCCAAAAATCCTAAAATTATCCAAAATTCCTCACAGAAAAAATCCCAAATTTATTGAGAATTACCTCAGGGAAAAATTCCCAAAAAAACCCCAAAAAAAAACCCCAAAAAACCCCAAAAACCCCTCAAAAAACCTCCAAAAAACCCACCAAAAACCCCTTAAAAAAGCACCAAAACCTCCCTAAAAAAACCTCCAAAATCCCAAAAAACCCAAAATTCCCCCCAAAAAACCCCAAAAAATCCCAAAAACCCCAAAATCCCTGTCAAAAATCCCCCAAAAACCTATTAAAAAATCCAAAAAAACCTCCAAAAAACCACCAAAAATCCCTTTAAAAAGCCCCAAAACCGCCCCAAAACCCCCCCAAAAAAACCCCAAAATTTCCAAAATTCCCAAAAACCCCCAAAAGCGCCCAAAATGTCCCAAATTCTCACATTTGCTCCCTCATTTTCTTGAAGTCGTCGAAGAGCTGCAGGGCGGTGCTGAGCCCCTCGGCGATCAGGCTGCAGCTCTCGCCGCCCCCCCCCGCGAACCTCGGGGAAAATTTGGGATTTTTTGGGGGGGCCCGACCCCCAAAATTCCCATTTTTACCCCAAATCCCCTTTTCCCCCAAAATTCCCATTTTTTCCCCCATTTTTTCCCCATTTCTCCCCCCAAAATCCCAATTTTTCCCCGATTTTATTCCAAATTTATTCCCATTTTCTCCCCTTTTTTCCCCCAATTTATTCCCCATTTTGTCCCAAAATTCTCATTTTTTGTCCCCAAATTTTCCATTTTTTCCCAAAAATCAAAATTTTTCCCCAAAAATTTGCATTCTTACCTCCCACTTTATGGCAAAAATTCTCCTTTTTTTCTCCCATTTTTTCCCTATTTTCTCCCCATTTATTCCCCATTTCTCCCCAAATTCTCATTTTTTGTCCCCAAATTTTCTATTTTTTCCCAAAAATCAAAATTTTTCCCCAAAAATTTGCATTCTTACCTCCCACTTTATGGCAAAAATTCTCTTTTTTTTTCCCATTTTTTCCCTATTTTCTCCCAATTTATTCCCCATTTTTGTCCCAAAATTCTCATTTTTTGTCCCCAAATTTTCCATTTTTCCCCAAAATTCAAATTTTTTCCCCAAAAATTTGCTTTCTTACCTCCTACTTTATGGCAAAAATTCTCTTTTTTTTTCCCCATTTTTTCCCTATTTTCTCCCCATTTATTCCCCATTCTTTCTCCATTATTCCCCATTTTTTCCCCAAATTCTCTTTTTTTGTCCCCAAATTTTCCATTTTTTCCCAAAATTCACTTTTTTTTCCCCCAAAAACTTGCTTTCTTACCTCCCACTTTATGGCAAAAATTCTCATTTTTTCCCCCATTTTTTCCCAATTTTTCCCCATTTATTCCCCTTTTTCTTCCGTTTTCCCCATTTTTTCCCAAAATTCCTATTTTTACCCCAAATTTTCCATTTTTTCCCAAAATACCCATTTTTCCCCCAAATTTTCCATTTTTCCCAAAATTCACATTTTTTCCCTCAAATTTCCCATTTTTCCCCCCAAAAATTCCCTTTTCCCCTCCCACTTTTTGTCAAAAATTCCCATTTTATTCTCATTTTTCACCATATTTTCCCCATTTTTTCACCGTTTTTCGCCATTTTTTCACCGTTTTTCCCCATTTTTTTCCCCCTAAATTCCCATTTTTCCCCATTTTTGCCCAAAATCCCCGTTTTTCTCCCCATTTTCCTCACTGGATGCTGTCGAGCCAGGTGAGGAACTCGTGGGCGCTGCTGCCGGGGATCCCCAGGGACCCCACACCCAAAATTCCATTTTTTTCACTCAAATTCCCCTTTCATTTCAAAATTCCCATTTTTTCCCCCAAATTTCCCATTATTCCCAAAATTCCTATTTTTCCCCCAAAAAATTCCCTTTTCCCCTCCCACTTTTTGTCAAAAATTCCCATTTTATTCTCATTTTTCGCCATATTTTCCCCATTTTTTCACCGTTTTTCGCCATTTTTTCACCGTTTTTCCCCATTTTTTTTTTCCCCAAATTCCCATTTTTCCCCATTTTTGCCCAAAATCGCCGTTTTTCGCCCCGTTTTCCTCACTGGATGCTGTCGAGCCAGGTGAGGAACTCGT